GCAACCACCTTTCCAACCCATTCCTTCCCAGCTTCACAATGAAACCTCTCCCTTCCCCTCTACAATTAAATCATTTACAAGAAAAACCACTCAGCTTTAACCTCCGATTCCTCTACCCCTGTCCACATTGCACCTAAACGAGCACACAGAGTTTTTAAGAAACGAAAGCAGCCTAACTCTTTACTACAATTCCTTAATAGTCGCCCACAATCATCTCGACTATATTCCCTTCATCCTCATAACACTAGTACCCCAGACTTTTCAATCCATAGCCCTCATTTTTACCCCAATAAAACTAAACCCCTACACTATCCTGGATCCCCTACTACAACTTCACTAACCCACTAAAAATCTTCCGGAAAAAGAATCACGATGACAACAAACTTTTTGACTCCATCAGTTACCAACTAACTACCGCACTTCAGGAAAATCAAGTTGCCACCATAGATTTAAACCAAACACTAAATAGATTCATAGCACAAAAAGCTAATGGATTTTCTATTAAACACTACAAACACACCGTCACCAGATATATGGAAAATTCCCCGTACGACAATGATTTTAACACTAACACCCAACTATCTGAAAAGTTCTTCATTAGACCAGATTAAATTTTTCATCTTGACAGCAAAAAACAAAAAGTTCGATCACATCATATATCACTCACTAAGAAACACTAAAGCTTACGAACCATTCTTCAATAAAATTACCTCTGCACTAACACATTTAATTTTCTCACACCAAAGGGAAATGATATTCACTGCTCGCTTGAAGTTATGTTTAAGACAAATTAAACCCTCACGTACACATATTATTAACTCATACAAAGACACTATATACACAGTTCACCATCCCGTGATCCACACCATCGCTTTATTTTCATTGACTCAAAGTAAACATCACCCTACATCTTTACACACTGCATCAAATCTACTAACTTGCACAGCATCCTCCGTAGTTACGACCCTCTCCGACAGATTTATATCTTTTGTCCATTGACTAACACCTTACCACTAGAAGTCTCCCGTCACATCATCATTCCCCACGAATATATACAGCCCATTAAAGAAGCCTGAATAGAAAACATCCATAACATCAAATTTAAGCAGAAGCTCAAAATTCTTATCCAAAATTCGAATCACGAATTTTCAGCTATTATCGAAGAAGTAAAAATCATCAGAGCGCTTGAAATTTTTGGCCACTGCTTCGCACTAAAACGTAATACGCATGCTTGCAAGCTTTTGGTAACATCTGACACGATAAAAACTAACTTCACCCATAGAATATTTCCCTGAAACTGAACCCTCGTAAATATAAAATTTACTGTTATCACTAACGTAAATAAATAAGACACTCGCCATTTTTACAAGTGTATTTCACATTGCTTTTGTTCATTTCACCAGTCACTCACCTAAAACATAAAATCAAAATGAACCATAAAAACTCTTTCACCTTTCAATTTTTTAACCTAACTATATGACTGAATTCTCCTAATGAAGTAAACTTAATACAAGGCAATAAATTGATAATTTTGTTGTAAAACTTAATTATGAAGTAGTGAATTAATAATGCAAAAAAAATAAAGAAACTAACCTTTTCATGTGTGCTTCTTTTGTTAACGAATATTTCTCATTTACTCGCCCACATCTCACGCACTTTTTCCACCAACGGCGAATTTTTCGCCCACGTAGAATTGTTTAATAGAACAATTTCAAGTTTACCAGACGAACTGAGAATAAATTTAATTTGTTTTCACAAGTTTCAAACTTCCCCTTAACCTGGTTGGAAGAAGCTATAAGTAAATTTAGGCTAAACAACGCAGCTTACTGAGACCACAAAACCAATCGCATGTATAAGAACGTCCCACGGTACCCAAAGCAGATTGAACCCAGATAAAAACTGGATAAATTATTTTTTTGAAACCCACTTTCAATTTTTTTGAAACCGCTTAAAACAAAAAAAAACAAAATCCAAAACACAACAATCTATTTTTGATGAAAGGACAAGAGCAAAGACAAAAAAGGGAAAACCACCGGATAAACAAAGAACGAAAAGTTGAACAAAAAAACAGACACATAAAAAGACTGCCCGAATAGACGGTAAATTTTTCCCTCGACTGGCTTTATCCGCCAGTAAGACGTTCTGAGCATGCTCTAAAGCCGGCCTAATCCACCGCGCTACACGACGCTTACGACACGCACTCCTATTTTCGACGAGAGTTGCTCTAGGGTGAGCGACTCTTCAAAATAGCTGAAACCAAATAAAAATGTTTTTGCGAAAACAACTAATAAATATCATAACTAAAACTGAAATCACCAACAAGATATAGATATGAATATGCCTTGTAAAAAGATGTCTTACAGCAAAAGAAACGAGCAGCAAAGGGAGATGAAAAATCGATGACAAATGGCAAATCTATTGGTTTGTTGCCTTAGTCACAACCCTCACAGGGTTTAGAGTATGGACCCAATATCACAGCAGAGGTACCCATTGAAGAAGAACAATGACCAAGTCGATGTTGAACTCACATACGAGTCCTAGTCACTTGGAGCTTCACCCAAAGAAGTCAAACTCCACCTTGCACGTAGTCTCGCTCTAGCCTAACGAAATCAATATATCATTGCAGAAATCTGAAATCTTGTCGCGATCACTCAAAAGACGACCTACGATAAAAACGAGACCCATTTCTAGAACACGAACAACTGCACTTCTTCTCTCTACGAAAACAATTACTTTTTTTCCTCCTTCACGCAGTCACTGCTCCAACAGCTCAAAAGAAACTACTCCAAAGAACAGAAATTTTTCCATCCATCCTTAGCTACAATAAACACTTTGAAACTTAAATCTCTGTGAACCCCGGATGGGTGGAACTAGTTTAAAACTAGTATCTTTATAACCAATTATATTCTTGATAAAACTATCCTTATAAAATTTTTCCTGTTAACCACTCATGATCCATAACTAACACTGACATTCAGTTATTTATAGTGCTGAAACTATTTTTACCTGGTAGTGCTGCAACTGCCAGAACAATCTAAATAAATCTTAGAAGACAGTTGTTCTTCTTTGGAACAAGTTCCATAAACTTAACTCGTGAATACCAGTATACACTAGATTTATTGAGACTAGGAGGAAAATGCAACAGAAGACAGTCGTTCTCTTTCAGAACAGTTCCTGATCTAACTCTTAAATACCAGTATTCACTAGATGTATTGAGACTAAGAGATATAGGAGTAAGATTAAGATTGGCATTAGACTAAGAAGGTGCACGAATATATCCGGCCGAAAATAAGATTCGAACAGACGGTTTACCTTATTTGAAATTACTCTATGAGTGTGCCACCCCAGACTTAAACTCACTATCATAAAACTTTTTGCGCTAAAACTCTGTAAATGACCTGTTTTTGCAGCAATTGCTATCATTATTTTTTTTGTTGATTGCGCAGTTTTTGTTTGGTTATAATATTTAAGTAATGTAATTTTTGGTGGCAAAATCTGAAAACAATTTTGTGATGGGGCCAGTCGCAACCTTTGTTTTGCTGCAATTGAGACGTTTTTCTGCGCTGATGAAAGTTTAGAAAAGTAGGATCTCGATCACGAATGTCGAAAAACATCATTTTACGTTTACATGGATTTCAACCGCCCGGGCTGACCTCCATACACCGAAAATGCTTATCTTACAATTCCATACATCAAAAATCTTTATCATACAAATCCATACGTCAAATGTATGGAGAAAATGCTTGTCATACAATTTTCATCAGACATTTTCAAAAAACAATAGAAAAACATTAAACCTATTCTGCGGCTTTTTGAGAACAGTTGAACAGACTGGTGATAAAAGAACTGATTTATAGAATTTTTTTGGAAAAAAGGCTTTCCATGCAATTTCCATACATGAAAATTGTATGACTGGCATTTTTTGATGGCGACACAAAAATTTTTTTGTCTTTTTTCAACCGCAAATCAAATTTTGTACGCAAACAAACATTTTTCTAAAAAAAAAATTTTTGGATTCAAAATTCAATTTTTTGTGTACCATGATATTGGCTTTTTTTTTTCTTTTCACCTAAATGTTTTTTTTTTCAAAAACGCTGAAAATTCCTATTTTTTTGCATGGAGTGTTTATGTATGCCTTGATCAAAGTCTGATAATTTGAAAATTCAAAAATTTAAAATAATCATCACTGAAAAATTTTGCCAAAAAAATTAAAAAATTGTTACCTTTTGTTATATCATTTGTGAAAGACATCTGGAAGACAATTCAGGTGGTTTTTATGCATTATTAATGTAAGACCGTCCAACCTTTGGTGCTTTGAGTAACCAAGGTCTTTTTCACTTGTTTTCGGTTGCAAACACAACCCAAAATTTTTCAGAAAATAAATATAGTAACCGAAAACAAGTTTTTGGTTTATGGAGAAAAAACCTATTATAAAGTTTCCATTTATGGGAAAATGTTTATTGTAGAGTTTTCATACAATTTTCTGTACGTATGGAATTGTATGGAATTGTATGAAAAGAAATTTCCCTTTTATGGGAATTGTATGATAATCATTTTTGGTCAACCCGGGCGTGTACTGTTTGAGAATAGTTGGAAAAGTCGCAAAAAATTGGAAAAACCTAAGTGATTGCCGGCATCTGAATTTGCATAGCAGTTTGCCTGATTGCTTAGAATCGACATTTATAACTTTTTAATGGGCATCAGTCTAGAACTTTTTTAATCTTAGGTGTTGTCTGTTTTCGACCGAAAAATGGAAATTAATTTATGTGTTCACCCAATTTGCAATACTGCAACAGTCGTGGCAAATTTTGAAGTGTAGGATTTCTATCGTAAACGCCTGGAAACAACCGTATGTGGTCGCACCGTAGCTTCCGTTCCTTTTTATCACACTGACGTCTGTATGCACCATAGTGTACATTTTTTCTGCTGATGCCCCCAACTCAGCAAGTTGAAAGTTAAACTTTCGGTTTGTTGAAAACTATGAGTTTGATTAAACAGCTTTGAATTGACTTCGATTTATTTTGGACATGGCTTGGCCACAAACCTATACTTTATTGAGATTAGCTCGTTAAAACTCGAGAGCATCGACGGGTTTGTATTCGTATGTTTTCACTTGCTCTGGGGGCATGCCTTCGAAGAAGACCCAGCTGGTTTTGGAGTCACACGTGACCTGCAACACCATCGAGTCCTCCTCGTCATCTCCGATGTCCACAAAGATGCGGTCGATGTACCCGCCGTACCTGCTGCAGTCCAATTTATCCAGAGTATCTTCTAGTCCAACGTAGAACAGGCTCTGCTCGAACGCCGTGGCATCTGCTCCCAATGCGGACAGGGGCGCTTCCACCCAGTCTCCCGAAATCATGTCTGAAAACGCTCATTTATGCATATTTTTGATCCGGTGCTTTCACGTATCTCGATTTTCGATTCGAAAACGAATCTTAAAAACACTTTTTAATCAATTAATTTCCTCAACAGTTTTGCTTATTTTTTATACAAAAATTTTTTAAACTCTTCTCCAGTTTGCTTTGGAAAAATGAAAAAATGCAGCTTTCACAGCTAAATGCAAGTTAGCGGGTGAACAAATTAACAATTCTGAATAAAGTGCTTTCCTTAATACATAACATTCAAAATTCACGAGTGTAGCCTCAATCTAATAGAGAATCTCCTGAATAACATATACAATGGGCGGTCCCTCATTAAAGCTCTGAAATAATATAAAATAAGATTCACTGTTTTGGGAGAACAAATTTTCTCGCTGTTAGGCTTTGAATGAGGTTATTGAAGGAAAGACCCAAATCACTTCCAGCGAGACAAAAAAAATAGCGACAAAAAATTTGGGCTAAAAAACATCGTTTTTGGCGGCTTGTCGCTTTGCTTGCTGATTGTCTGTGTACGATTGTAGTTCAGTAATTGCTTTCAAGTAATTGCTTTCAAGTAACATTAGTTCAGTAATTGCGAGCTAGTTTGAAATTTTTGAAAAAACAAAATCTCAAAAACAAAACTCAAAGAGCATCACTTACTTTTAGGGGGTCTAAGCTATTCAATTTACTTAGACAAAACAACCTGATGACCGCAATATTTGATAACTTTTCCTTTTTGGCTGTCCAGAGTTTTGCTCATGAAATACGAGACTTATTCATCAGAAGTCAGGAAGATTTAATAAAACTATTCGTTGCGATTTAATTGACTACAGCTGATAAACTATTTTTTATGATAATATCTTCCTTTTATGGATATCAATTTATCACATGAACTTTTAGTTTTCAATCCGCTTTATGCGACAAGAAAATCATACTTAGACTTGTTCACTGGTTACCGCCGCATGGCCTCATGTAGGTGTCTACTGAACATTTAGCCCTCAACGAATTCTTTTGCTCTAGGAGAAAGGACACAAATAAAGGAAGCAGTAATCGCTGTATGAACAGATTTGTAATTGAACTGGCTACTAGGTTCTACAAGCGAGTTTTCAGAATTTTACGCAAAATTGTTTTTATAGCACTAAAATTGTCTCTGCTCAAAGAAACTTATACCAATGGGTAAAAAAAAACATAAAAAATAGATTGTGTAAGGCTCTAGCTGCAAAGTCAGATGTACGTTTTCTATGAATAATTTGACTCTAACAAGATTGAAGGTTAATTTTTTTTTACTATTTAAATTTTTTGCTTATGTTACTACTCTTTGCGATTTTCATAATAGAGCAGTACCCAGTAAACCCAATGGTTTCGATAGTTGTCCACTCTGAGTTATAATTTTTTGTAAATATGTTGCTTGGAATTTTTTGAAGTATGTTTTGTAATTTGTTACAATTAAAATAAGTTCTTCTTCTTTGTCTTTGTCTTTGTGTGACATTCAGCTCCTTGAGGAGTTTGCACAGGGGTCCTTCTTTAGTTGTGGAGCAGCGGCATACGATGTCGCTAGAGTTACGGTTCCGCCATACGATATCGCAACCACAATGCCATCTGTAGTTGGCTAGTATTCGCATTTCACTAATGGTCATTCCGGTGCATCTTCTATTGAACCAATTGAGGCAATCCACGCATTAGATGGACGATCCGTTAGATGTCACTCTGGGTCTGCATAGGCCACACGGGTTAATGACTCCAGTCTGTTGGGTCTCGGTGATGGTTGCTGTCTGTTGTTCTACGCACTTCTTTCGGTGTCATGCCAAGTTACTTCTGCTGATAACTTTGTCGCACTTTCCGCATGCTCCTGGTACGGTTCCGCTACAGCTCCTCAGATGACTTGTAAGGTTCATTTCACAGGCCGTCAACAATCCGCATTTGGGGCAGTTTCTCCGTTGTTCTCTGTCCAATATATGCATCTTCCTCATGTGAATCTTTCTTCCCAGGTGATTTTTGAGGATCTTGTTGCACACCGGGCACTCGTTCGTTTCAGAGTCAATCTGGTCTCTCTGGTCTCTTCTCGTGTCCTCTCGTTCCGCCTGTTTCTTTTCCCGGTTCTTCATTAATTCTATTCGTTCGTTCACCATTGTTTTCCATGATCTTCTACTCATGACCACTTGTTCCTTGTGATCTGGTTCCACTCCTGCGTCCTTCAAACATTTCATGCAGTACTCGATTTTGTTTGTTGTTTTCGATCAGTTACAATTAGAAGTAAGTTCTTCTTCTTTGTCTTCTTCTTCGTCTTCGTCTTTTATGCAGCTTTTTCCCTTTAAAACTTCGCAACCTAATCTTAATCTGAGACCGCCATCTTATATTAGTACTGTACCGCCAATGAGTGTCGTTTCAGTTCAATTACCTTGATTTCAATCTCCGACAAGTTTGTTTACCTTTGAGATCCATTTAAGCAACCATTTGCCTTTGAGAACTGATATCTTTGAGAACCATTTAAACAATAAACTTTTTTTGAAAAAACCAGGAGACAAAATATATAATGAGTAGAAGTTATCCTTTATCAGGTATTCAATCATCGATCATTGACGGGCTCAATACATTTTTGGCTGTTTCGTCACAGAATTTTTGCAGATTGTTTATTTGTGAAGATTTTTTTTGCTGAATCGTGAAAGTCACCAGTTAGTTCTTCTCTCAAAAGGATAGCTGCGGATCCAGATTATTCCAACTTTGTTAAAGTCTTCAAATGAGAGCTGAAAACTTATATATCTGCGGCATCGCAGTTTGTCAAGCATAATGATACGTACAGAACCTCTATTCAGAACCTCAAGGTTGAATGTATTGCTATGAGACATTTTAAAAAAGGCACGTTGTTAAAGTAGACTGGCTGCAGAATCCCATCATAAAACTTACTGTAGAAAATTTTCATCAAATAAATGGTGAAGAATTTTTTTGAAAAGGAAAAGAATGAGAAAAAAACAAGGAAAGATAAATAACTGTTTCAAACTAATCGGTGCTTGTTGCAATGATTTAGCTCCTTTTTTAAACCCTTAGAAAATTTTTTTTAAAAATCGCAGTGAAATACTATTTTGATTTTGCGTTCAGGACGTCAATAGTGGTCAGATGGTTTAACAAACCGTCAAAAGGGGAAGTTAGGAACCCGAAATTTGTCTGAAGAAAAAAACCAACCCGAACCTAAAAAGTTCGTCACTTTCCTTCCATAGTCCATGAACTAAGCTGAATAGCAAGCTAAGTTAAATCGTTGTTACGGCGTTAAGCCAGGGTGATGAAAAACTAGTGTAAAATTGAATAGCAAAAACTCCAAAAAGTTAATTAACAGTTTGTTCACTACACTTTTTCAAAGAAAAGTCAAATAATAAAAACGTACGGAGGTTGAAGTTTTTTTCTTTGCTGAATTTCTTCGATTTCTCGAGCAAACTTTTAATACAGATCTAAAGTGAATAACCTGACTGAATACATATCATTCTACTGACCATCATCATTGTGGTAGTCATAGTCATCATAGTCGATGTAGTCACTGCTCCCCCAGTCACTGTAGTAGTAATCTAAAACAACCAGTGGCGTCAACACTACCCTTCTATAGGCGCATGAGGTATCGTGGTCTTCTGCCTTTTTATGTTTTCCACACCGTCTAATTGGATGGAAATATGTTTGGATATTTGTTTGTTCCAGTGTGTTCATTCGTGTAGTTGTAAGTAGCGTGGCGTTTAAGGAGCCGTTAAAATAGTTTCATAGTAGTTAGTTGAAAAATGCATGCAACAACCTGAAGGGATACAACAACCCCGTTGGAGGTCCGCGACTCGTGTTCTGACTTTTGCGACAAGTTTTTGACATGTCAAGACTTTCGCAATCAAATTTAGGCAATTCCAGCTTTTAGGCATTTCTATCACGACAAATCACCAGCGGCTTTCGCGATTAAGGTGGAGACAGCGCAACTTTTGCGACAAAGGCAAAACCCAAGACCAAGACTCTTTGCAGCCAAGTTCCAGACCAAGCCAGAAAAGGCGCGACTTTCCACACCAAGGTGGGGACAGAGCGCCCCAGAAAAATGTATCATAATTTTCGCGACCGAGGTAGACACGGCGCGACTTTTGCTACCAAGGCAGAGGCTGCCAATTTTTGAGAACGAGGCGGAGAAACGTAAGTCGCGACCAAAATGGAGACTAAATTTGCGATTGCGAAAAAAGCTATAAATTTTCTCTGGGTCACAAAAATTTTCTTCTTCGCCATCTTCACCTTAATTGCAAAATTAAGACCGAATCCAGACTCAGATTGCATAGTCGCGCTAAGAGTTTAAGTTTGGAAAGTCTGGCAATTAAGTCGTGCCAATGATCGCCAAAGTCGCGCCATCGGTTGCAAAGTTGAGCTGTAGGTTGCAAAGTCACTGCATCTCAATCTCTGTCGCGAAAATGCGAGAATCTGTTTCTCATTCGCGCTGTCTCCGCTTTGGTCGCACTGTCTCAAATTCGGTCGCAAAGTTTGCAATTTTTTTTCTTGTTCGCGCCGTCTCCGTTTTGTTCACAAAAACATAAATTATGGAAAGTCTGGACATGAGTTGCGAAAGTGGCGCGGAAAGTCTGGACATACCAAGATTTGATTGTAAATGTCTGGACAGTAAACCGCGAAAGTCTGGAAAATATGTGTCCAGTCTTTCACAACCCATGTCCAGACTTTCTCGACTAAACTTTGGTATGTCCAGATTTTGGCTTATCCAGTTTTTCGATGACCACGACGCAACTCCTGTCCAGACTTTGCAGATTGAGACTAGTATTAAAACTAGTACTCGAAGTAGTAAATTTAGCAGAAAAACAAGACGCAAATTCCAAATATATCATGAAGGACTTTATCATGAAAACGTAATTCCAATTTTGTCACAAAACATGGTATCTTCCAAATTCACCCAAGAAATTGAAAACGGCAAGTTTTGTCGTGAATTTAGGCGGTGTTCGATCTTGAAAAATCTAGACCTCCTTGCCTTAAAAAGGGCCATACTTCGCTACTGTTTTGAAATAGTCTATTTAGCGCTGACCATTTTAAAATTTTCATAAGAATTCTATAATTCAATTGCCTGCAGAGCAGATTTTTGGAATTTTAGGATCTTCTCAATCTTTTCAGAGAAGCATGGCGAGATCAAAGAATCAACTTTATTTCAAGTTATCGAACCTTTCATTCGCAAGAATGTCAAATTAACTTCTGAGTCTGTCGTATAATTGATTGTTCCCATATTTTAGATTGTTTGTTGATATATGGTGGTTTGGTTTGAGACGCTAGGTTTAAATTTCAATTTCATCGACCGAAAATCCGTGTGTTTTTAATTTTTCGTCCAAACTTCGGTAAGTTTCGACTTCTCGACCAAATTTTGGTGTGTTTCGAATTTCTCAAACAAATTTCGGAATGCTTCGATTTTGTCGTTTGTTTCGACGCACATGCTTTAAAAGCTTTGTTTGTTCGATCCCGCATAGGCATAACTCCACATTTTTGACCAAAAATGGATATATGTTTCGACTGCGCCTGACCTATGTTTCGACTTTCTCGACAAAAATAGGTAGTTTTTGACAGTGTTCGACCAACAAAAAAGTTGCAAAATTTATTTGATCCATCTCAGATTCGTGTCAACCAGCGTGACTAACAAACTATTAAATCGGTTAAGGCAATTCAAATAACTTTTGGCCAGCTCAGGTCTTTTCAACCAAATGATAAGAGCACTATACTGCGTTTCTTAAAATAATAAAAACCAAAAAATTCCGTCCGTATAACAAAAAAAATTGAAAATATTGAAAAATTAAGGGTATAATTGACCTGGGTTTTGACTGTGCTCGACATATGTTTTGATTTTTCGACCAGAAATGGGCATTTTTTTACTGTGCTCGAACTAAATTTCAAATTTTTGACCAAAAAGTTTCTTTGACCGTGCTCGACCGTTTTTTGACTTTCTCGACCATAAATGGGCTTTTTTACTGTGTTTGACCTGTTTCGAACTTTTTGACCAAACATGTTTTTTTGATCGTGCTCTTGAACTATATTTCGGCTTTCTCGACCCAAAATGGGTAGTTTTTTACTGTGCTCGACATACGTTATGTTTTTTTTTACTTTCTCGGTTATCAAATGACATGAAAAAAATGATTCTAGGAATTTGTATGATAAAGTTACTAGCCGTCTGCTTCTGATGATGCCTGTGCTCCTGGTAGCTGAAGAAAAGATGTCAGAAGTGCTGAAACAAATAAAACTATCTGAACTCAAAAAGAAAACTTGTTCACCTTTATTCTTCTTTCTATGCATATTTTTGAGCTCAAACTTTTGACTTATTTTGACTCTTTTCTTTATTTGTTACATAGGTTTTTGCCCCAAAATTTGACTTCCGATGATGGTTTTCTATAATTTTCAGGTCAAAATCTGATTTAGGCTTTTTTCCTTTTCCCCCCACCTCACATAAGCATCAATTTTCTGGCGTAACGAGGAGTTTTACAAGGTAAAGTTTTGTAGCAATCGGACAATGAGAACAAAGAAATTTCGCTGTTGGGGGGAAAGGAAAAAGAGTCCTGATTTATATTGACCTTTTTTTTATTTGTTTCATCGGTTTTTACCCAAAATCTGATTTACAATTATCATTTTTGATGATTTCCTTGCTTGCTTTTGAGCCCAAAATTGGAGTTATATTTATTATTTTATTGAATTTTAAAGCATCTGGCACGTGTGTTTTTTTAAAGAAAAAAAACAAAAGTAAAAAATTTTAATTTTGTTTAAATTTAGAGTTATAACCATAATAACCAGAATAACATACATTACTATCATTGGATAAATTTTTCAAAGAAATCGAAGATTGGTGGGTTTGGGGACCGGGAAAACAGGGATCAAATATCAGTTTAATTTTCATCCATGTTTCATGGACGAATCAGAAAATTCACATGCATTTTTCAGCCATGATTCATGGAAGAAACATCAATTCAACTTTCATCCATGTTTCATGGATGAACTATAAAACTGACATCCGTATTTCAGTCATGATTCATCGATGAAACATTAATGTAATTTGCATCCATGTTTCATAGATGAAACCTGGATGAACATCGTTGGAGCGACACTGCAACATGAATGATATATGGATGCAAAAAATGAAAGATAAATGATACATTTCTGAACTACAATGCAACTTCAACCCGGGTACACTCTTAGCGACTGTCCTTCGAATATTGCGGTAAATTTAAATCGAAAACACTAATGTTCTTGAGTAACATAAAATGAAAAGAAAACAAGTTTGGTTGTTTATTGTGCGATTAGCATGGAATATTTCAATCAAAGTTATCAATGCTGAAAGCTCCATTCAATCTTACAAATTCAGTTAACAAGGCACAAAAAAATGATTTTTTTTGACTTTTTTCAAGATAGCTGAATCAGAAACAGACATTGCACTCATCTTGTAAACAAAAATTCTCTAAAACCAATCAATCTCAGACCTTAAAATTTTGAAATATTTTGTTTTCAAAATTTATCTGATATAGTGCGTTATTTTAATACACCCAAGCTTTATCAATTCCAAAAGAATGAGTATGATGAAATACAATGGTTTATAATGGATACAAAGTTTTGAAAATTACGGTTAAAACGACATAATTGATTTTATAGCCTGAGTGATACATATGTAATCAAAAATAATAACAATAAGTTGCATCTATTAACCAATTATAATTCCGGAAGACTTCAGTTGCAGAACAGCAAAGTTTTTCAAATTTAATGATGTGTCCGAACAAAGATTAAAAATGAAACACAAATCAAAAAGAATTTTCAAATCGATTACAAAAACGAGTTGGATTTTTACCTTTGCGATAAGCAAGGGTATTGCAATCGGATACTAGACTTTTTCTCGTAAATAATTTTGTTAACAGGATGACTGAAATTTGTCCATCTCCGTTTCTACCCAAGCTGCACGTCAAACATCTGTACTTCAAAAGCTGGCTCAGAAAAACTGTTACTTGTTTTACAGCTGAATAAGAAAGTTCAAATGGAAATTGACTTTTTTATCGGCTTTATTGATTTCGACCACATTTTTGTCGGCCTTCTTGCCGGTTTTTTTCCATTAAAATTTTATTTTTTTCATGCATGATTTATTACTTTTTTGTTCCAAGAGTGCGTGTTAGTTGGGTTTTAGTTTTTTTTAGTTCCGTGTGTTTTTGGTTTGGGCCATTCTATATGAAATCGATTCTAGTTCATGGCTTAAGGTTTTGTGTCAATATGTTAAAAAAGTTTAAAAAAATTGACAAAATTCCAGATTTTTTCGCAATATTGACTCGACTTTTTTGTATATAACGCGCTATTATAGAACAGTTCTTTCAACGCGCTTTCTTAACGACAATTTCAAATTCCGAACTTACAAAAAAAATAACGCTAATTCTTCTGGAAAAAAAAGCAGAATAACTCAAATGCAGCTTCAAAAACGATAAGAAAACTCTCTTTAAGAGTTGTAGTATATACAAAAATGACTCTCAAGGCCAATAATTTGAGAGTAATTAACCAAACCTTGACCCAAATTAGTTGAATTGTTTGAAAAAAATTTAAAAAAATATTCAGGAGTTGTTCCCGATTTACCAGAAAAAAAGGAAAATATCTCAACTGCAGACAGAAAATTAATGTCATCTTATCAGCTTAAAAACTGTAGGATTGATCCTGGTGAGTCAAAATTGTTCTTTTACGATCAAAAATGTCCAACACCGAATCGGAAATAACTCTAAGTATAAGGGAAAAAAGCAAAATATTTCAAATTCAGGCACAAAATAGATACCAGAATCCTTCTAAAAAGTTGTAGAAAACATCTTAGCAAGTCTATACAAGATAGTTTGGAATTCTTAAATCTGATCGTTGACCTAACTTTACTCGGAATATAGGGGTTTTCAAGCACGAAATAGACAAGAGTCCTTCATAACAGTTATAGGAAATATCCCGTTGAGTCCAAACGTTGTAATTTGGAGCTTGTTTATCCCATCAGTGACCCAAAATTTGTTCACAATTTTGGTAAACTCTTGAAAAAAATATATAATTCGGGAAAAAGCAAAACAACCCAAATCCACGTACGAAATAGAGACCAGAACCCTGCTAAAAATTTATAGTGATTATCTTGTTGAGTAAACACAAGATAATTTGAAGAACTTATATCCAATCAAAGGCCTTATTTTGTTTGAAAAATTGGAAGTTTTCTGGAGAATAAATTTTGTAATCCGGAAAAACGACAGAAAAACTCAAATTCAGGCACGAAATAGACACCAGAACAAGTCATGTTAGCAGCTATATTATTTACCCTGCTTATATTTCCGAACATTGACACAAATTTGCTCAAATTTTTGTAAAAATTTATCCGGAAAACGTTTTTTACCCGAAAAAAAATGCGAAATCACTCGAAATCAGGTTAAAATTAATTCTTTCCCACTGCGAAAAAACGTTCAATCAAAATACGAAATATCAAGAACAATCCCTATTTTGAAAGAAAGAATAAAATTTATTTCTTTTTACTTGAAAGATGAGATTTGTTTCATACTCTTTACGAAGGACGAAAAATTCGCAAAGCTACGTCAGATAGGGGACACTATCTCAAATGAGGCAACGAGACTGGGAGTGAGTATCCTGATATCTGATCTCTTCGAAATGCAAGTAGAAGTTACGTCTAAAGTAAATGAAATTAAAGGTTTTTGAGATGATATAAACAAGAGACTAAGAGAACAAGAACGAAACTCTTCCAAGAAGGACACTCCTCCGAAGATTCGATCCTTGTAGATAACCCTCCTTTTAAAGCCCTCGATACAAAAAAAATTGCTCAACAATGTTTTCTGGTTTCAGGATGAAAATTTGAAACTGAGAGTCAGTGAAAGATGGTTGAAAGCCCATCATATTTTGCCTAGCAGAGGCTTACAAAACAAACTGAGGACTTCAATCATTGTAAAGTTTGTTCAATTCAACGAAAATTATGAGGCGTATAAAAACAGGAGAAAGGTGAAACAAGAGGGCTACAAAAAATCCGATCAACCAAAAAATGATTTGGGTAAAAGAACGCTTGCCTCCGCTCGATACGGTATGCAAATGACTGGCTGAAAGAAGAATTTCATCATTCCGACTAAAAATTGCTCAGTACCCGTTTTATGTCAACTGAGCTTGGGAACTCCGTATTAAACAAAAATTAACGCAGAAAAAGATCAGGAAACTCTCGAGAACCCAATCATTCGAGAGCAACAGCAACAGCAGCTGAAAAACCTAGTACGCTGATAGAACCAAGTTCTAAAGGAAACAAAAGTCGACTTTTAGTTGACGGCTAGTGAACAATGAGAATATATGCGTCTCTATCGCCAGAGCAGAAAAAGGCGTTTATTGAAAAAGCAGAGGAAAATTGGTCATTGGACGGAATTTGTTTCCGAAATAAAATGGGAATCCTTTTGTTTGTTGACTAACAGCTCCTTCTTCTAAGAAGATAAACTGAAAATGAAACTTCCATCAGGAAGGTTAAACTTAGCTTAGCAGACATTCTATTTGTTCAAATATATGATTATTGCTTAGGTATATGTAATATCAGAGCAAAGATAAAACCTAGTTTTTTTTAACCTCTTTCAAGCCTATAAAACAAAAATCTTTCTCAGTTGTTTTCTTTCTATGAAGATCTTCAAAAATAAGCAAAAGTAGGAGGAAAAAAATCAATAAAAGTAAAGCTGAAAAGAGATTTTTTTTTAGTTTTTGTGTTTTTTAACCTTTTTGTTGATCTCGATTTTTGTGTACTGCGACTTCCGCAGCAAAAAAATGTAAAATGTCAATCAGGTGTATGCTTTTATATGATGGAACATGCGACTTCCGCAGTTACCATCTTGCAAGTGAAAAAAAGTTTGAAGCCTTAACTGCGACTTCCGCGGTTTTGTTTCAGGCATACATCAGAAGGTCTGTGTGTAAATATTGAAACGTGTGGATGAACTCTTGGTTTTGTCAGAATCTCAAAAGATTTTTACTGCGACTTCCGCGGTAAAAATATAAATTCTTCCTAAATTCTTCACAAAGCACACAAAAAAGGAAAGTAAAAAAGGTAAGTAGAGGAAAAAAGGAAAGTGAGAACAATAAAGTAGAAACAGAAATCGCAGAAGTGACAAAACAGATTTATTATTTATAGGAAAGTACATGTCTCGGCCCGTACTTCTACAAATAATTAGATCAGTATATAAAAGTTTCAGTAGTTTGGAAGTTTTT